CCTTGTGGCACCCCCTCGCTACCAGTTGAGCTACGCCCACCGGTTTAGTGACTTTTCATGTTACTTATGAGGTGGCATTTATAAAAATAAATTTTATACTTGGGAGTTTCTTCAAGAGAAGAAATTTGAAAACATCAAGAGTTTGTGATATTTAATCACTTTTATAGAAAAATTAAAATTGATCATACTTTTATTATCACAAACTCTAGCAGTGTCGATCCTACACAAACTTGGATCTGAGTCGAGTTTCATAAAAGGCCTCTATGCATAGTGTTTGTTTGTAATACAACATACATTGAAATAAAATATTAATACCACAAAAGTAAAAAAAAAACTCAATGATACTTAAATACATGTACAATTCTTACATTATTCATAACGATACCGAATTTGTTACAACAACTAATGAAATGCAACTCGTTGAACAATTTTAGATGCAACAGTATTAAAAAAATTGGCATAATCTAGGGTTTTAATATTTTGGCTAAATGGTCAAATAGACCCCTGTACCGGTCGTGTAAGCTCAATTCAGTCCTTGAACTAAAAAAAGGTTCAATTCGCACCCTGAACTGACAAAAAATGGTTCAAATTTCATTTTTTATGGGTAAACAACCGGTCATTTTTTTAATTTTTTATTGTTTCTGTTTTTTTATTTTCGATTTATTGCAATTTTGACACTTTTTAATAGTTTAAGGGTGCGAGTTGGACCTTTTTTATCTATTGTTTACCTGTGAAAAACGAAATTTGAACCATTTTTTGCCGGTTCGGGGTGCGAATTGGACCTTTTTTTAGTTAGGGATTGATTTGAGCTTACACGAACGGTACAAGGACCTATTTGACCATTTAGCCTAATATTTTTCCCCTCATTTGATAACATAGCTAATTCATTCGTCTTTTTTAGATTTGATTGATCGTAAAAATGTCTTCATAAAATTCAGTTTTGAGAAACTTCTTTCGACACTTGCTACTGTCACAAATACAGTCAACAAGATTTTATATGCAAAACATGCATTATGAAAGCATCTGTTTACTTGTTAAAAATAATTCATCATATCGATCACATATTTTATTTCCTCTGCCCGGGAACAACTACAACTCCTAGGTCAATTAAGCCGGGGCTCTGCGCTCTTTCTTTCTGTGTGGGACGATACCGGGGAGAGAAGGAGGACAACTACATTGTTTAAAAATACTTTAAACAATGACGTATTTTATGTTTTCTGTTTTTTAAATACAAAACACATAGTTTGATTATTTGTGAATTGAAAATTTTGACAATTTTAAATCTTTATAAACATAAATAAAAAATTGATCTCAATTCTCAAATATAAAAATTTCACCAAGGCACAACCCAACTTGACTACTTCGTAAAACATGTAAGAATAGGATTGCTTTAAATTTGTAAATAGCATTTTTAATGTAAGTACTCTATATCCCAATATCCCAATCAATAATAGAAAATTTAATCAATAATTATATTAATTTGAAAATATAAACTACCAAGTCAGACAGATAGTTCATTCGGTCATTAAAAAATCAACAATTCATCAAATTAGCAAATCAATATAAAATTTAGTTTTTTTTTGGAAAAACGTATCAACGAATTCGGGAGTTGGGATTTGTAGTTCACTACTTGGTTGATAACTCTATTGTTCCTCCGATTTTTACTTCTGCAGCGGATGATTTAATCCCAACAGTCAACATAGTCTTTGTATTTTTATTTTGAATACATATCTATAATACATAAATAGTTAGAATTTTGGGCCCCTAATTTTTTAATTTTTTTGGGGCCATGAGGCTCAAGCCTCTCCAGCCTAAAGGAAGGCACGACTCTGAACTCTAGAAGACGCGTTTTTGTCATTAATAAATATAAATATATACTCGGTATAATGTCATAGTCCCTTAAGTTTTAATCATTATAGCTTTTTTGATAACAGATACCTTAATTATTATTGATAATGTTATCCAGAAACATAACAATCAAAAGATGAATCATTTCAATCACAACGCTCAAAACTATACTAGAGAGAAACAAAGAACAAAAAGACATATATAAAGGCGTTCTTGTTCGCTAACCTTGCAATGATGTAAACTACTACCGCAATGTGACTACTCATGTTATTCAAAATGGATCCAGTTTGACCATACACCAAAAAAGAACTACTCCCTCCGTTCCCCGTTATTGTTCCATTTCCTATTCACTTAGTCAACACAAATCACTTTTAATCTCTTACTTTATCTATTAGATTTTTATCAAATTTGATTTTGATTTTTGCGACTTTGTAAATCTTTTAATGTAGTTTCTGAATATGTATTTTTTTTTCTAAAAATAATTTGAGTGCGAACATGGATCTGTTTGCTTTATCGTCGGTCAACCAACATAAACCGCAATGGGACGATAACAGAGGGACGGAGGGAGTATTAAATTTTTCGGTTTTGTCAACCACCGGTAAGGAGGCAAGGTGCATAATTTGTTCAGGTTTCACTGACCACCGGATAGAAAGCAATCCATGCAATCACATCTTCCTGGATCGGCGGTGGTTCAGTATGGGGGCGATCGGCCTCAATATTGATGCAGAAGAAATTCAGATTTCTGATTGATGAAGAAGCCCCTAGAAATCAAATACTAGCACACAAGAATACCTGATCGATGATGACGGGAGTATACATCACTTGGCAGACAACAATTCGCTACCGAAAATACCACCTCTAGACAACGCCAGGAAATAAACGATATAACTGAAAATAGTGATTAAATGAATCCTTTTTCATAATTGAAGCCAAAATCATTATAGCTTTATTGAAACGTAAAAATATTTTTTTTTTCAAGTTTAGAAATTGCATTTGCAGCACACAAAATATCATAGAATAAACTACAAAACCGCATGACTCGTAAATCCCAATCTATCAATGAACCATGATCAAGTGATACTAACTCGGACTCGGTCCCCAAAAAATCATGACATGAAGAAGTGATACTACCTCCGTCCCGTTAGAAGTTTTCATAGCAAAACGGCACGATTATTTAGGCAATAATTAAATAAAGTACTTCAAGTATATTTTGAGAAATAATTAATTTTAATAGGTATATATTACGGAGTATATTGTAATTAGTATTGATAACTATGATGTTATAAATGTATTATTTTTAATATTTAATGATTAATTTGTCACTTAAGATTTTGAATTGTTTCCAAAATGGAAATGAGAACCTTTATATGGGACGTCCAAAAAAGAAAATAGAAACCTTGGGACAGAGGAATACGTAACTTTTAAATGTGAAACTTTAATTAGATGGACAAATAAAGGTAAAGGTAGTAAGACAAAGAGAATAGAGCTCAAGATTTGTTGAGGTAGCTCAACGAGGTCATAAGGTAATTGAAGCAAATCACACGAAAAAGTGAATCTTTTTTTTTTGGAAGAGAAAAAAGTGATATTTCATTTGAATCTAATATACCGAGACAACCGAGTATTATCTAGTTCAATCCAAAGTCATATTAAGTCATACATAGTATTTCGTTTGATGTTTTTTAATGTGATACTATAACATGAAGAGGATATAACATGATATGATACTATATATCACTATATGATATTATTCCACTAATGCTTTTTAAGGTCGGGAACTAAGTACTTGACAAATTTGTTATAAATATAAATATATTTTGAATTGATTACCATTAATATGCTAGAAAAATCAAATACTAATATAGAAGTATGTGTAACAATAATAGAAGGTTACAAAATGTATAATGGGTGTAGTTTCATTCTTAGATTCTTTAGGTTGGTTACTCCATAAAGAAGTTGCGTATATCGCGGAACTACGTAAAACTACTCCAAAATTATTGTTGTTCTCATATCTTATAGTCATATTTTGACATTATCATACATCAATATAACATTATTAGTGTCAAAGACTCAAAATTCACATTTTTCAAACGTGAAAATTATTACTCCTATTTAGGAAAAAATATAATGCTCATGTTTTGAAATGTCGCATTTTTTTCATCCCATTTAGGACAGTTGTATGGATTCTACTTTTCTCCTTATATGACAGAAAAATAATACCGATAAAACTCGGACTTTTCTATTTTATTTTGTCTAAAGTCGCCCAATACTAAAAATGTGCAACTTCAAAGTCTTACCTTCGATATGAGTTTTATGCAATGAATGTGGTATAATAAATTTTTATGCATGTGGTATAATAAATTTAGGTTTGGTTGCGCACGCAAAATGACACTATGCAGGGACTGATATCAAGATGGTAGGTTTCCATTTATTATCTAGACTTTAAATTTTCTGGTCTAGTTTGGTCTGAAGTCTGAACTGGTCTAAAAGATGTCTGGTCTTGTGTATTTAAATAATTATCAAAATCTAGTCTAGTCTGATCTAGTCAATTTAAATTTGGTCTGGAATCGAAATAAATCTGAGTAAAAACATCCTTAATTTCTTGTTATTGCATTTCCCAATTTAAAGATTAAATTCTTGTGAGACCAAAATGTACACATAAAAGAATGCCAAGAAGACAAGCCATCCAAATCAAACACCAACGACCTTTTCCTTAGGGGTGGACTCGGGCCGGGCCAACCGGCCCAGAACTGGACCGGCCCGTTACTGTGCGGGCCCGAACCGACCCGGTGAACCGGTTGGTTGGCCGGTTCGGGCCACCCGGCCCGGTGGGATGGCGGTCCGGGCTCAGGCCCTTCAAAAGGTGAACCAGCCCGGCCGGTTCAGGCCCGGGCCGGGCCATTTTTTTTTTTAAGTTTTTGGGTTGGACTGGGTATTTTGGGCCATTTTAGGTGGTTAGGGTTGGTTTGGGGTGACGGTGAGGGTTGGGGGTTAACTAGGAAAAGCCAAAAAAAAAAAATTACAACCGAGGCCCGACCCGGCCCGGCCCGGTTCCGGGCCTCCCCTTCATGAACCGAGGCCCGAACCGGGCCCGAACCGGAACCGGTCCATCCCTACTTTTCCCAAAACTATACATTGTCAATATAGATCATCGACTGCATCTATTCATCATATCACTACTAACGATGGAAAACGGATACTGATAGCAGCAAAAGATAAATAATCACGTTCTCAAACTAAGAATGGACCGACTAGTTTGCCCTTCCCTTTCTCCTCCGACAGGGTCTCAAACACACCCATGGAAGGGAGGAGAGCGAGAGAGACTGATCATTAAAGGCAACCAAACATTTTCCTTCTGCAAGTTCAAGATGAAAACCATTTCACTATTTTCTGTTCCCATATTACATTATAGTAATATCTATCTATACATAATAAGTAGTAATATAAGAAGCTGAAGCAAAGGTGAACCCAAAATACTTTAAGACTACTTTCATGAGAGCACAAAAAAAAATCATAGTGGTAATAACTCTGGTGAAAATGCACACACTAAAACCATAACTACCCTTCCAACACGCACGCACACACTCTCTCTGTATCATCAGGCTACACCATTCCATCTTTCTGAAGCAGCGACTAGAAATAAGACAGTCCAAAGGAACTAAGCAAGCAATACTTGAGCAGTTGTTGGCAGTAAATGATAAAGAGGTTTTGGTGCATCAACCACTTCCCATTGAACGCAGAACTCAAACTCGTTGCCCGAAGAAGAGTCACTCCGTTCCCTTCTTGTGATGTGTCCCAAAGCAACTTGAAGATTCCGTCCTACAACAACGATCTTATTGTCACAACAATTGACACAGAAAGGTTTTCTGATCTGCTCAGGTAAAGGAAGTCCGTCAACTTTGTTCCAACCATCACTTTCTTTGTCATAAACCTTTACCCCGGCTCTTTCATGTTCCGGAACCACAAATAAGTTGTCATCTATCACAACACTTGAACCGGTCCAACCTTCTCTGAGTCCGGATGACATCCCTTCCCAATGGTCGGTTCTCGGGTCGTATATTTGACCCCTTGGTCCAACATAGAACGGCCAAAACCAGCCTTCTGTCACCAGAAGCTTCCCATCAAGGACTGCCGCGTCATAGGAGGCCATAGTTGCTCTCATGTTTGCAATTGGTCGCCATGTCTCATTTTTTGGATCCAAAACCTCACCCGACCCGAGCTCAAAAAGATCTGTACTGTTCCCTCCAGCAACATAAACCATCCCGTTAATGAGCCCGCAGGCGAAAAACGACCTCGGGGTGATCATACTCTTCATCACGGTCCATCGGTTGCTCTGCACTTCAAACTTCAACACCACATTAATGGGACAGTCCATGTCCGCGATCGACCCGCCACAAACAAACAAAACGCCCTCACAGGGCAGTGCAACACACCTAAACCCATGTGGGCAAACCTTGACGGTGCAAGGCATGGCAGGAATCGTGTGCCATGAAAAGCTGGTCAGGTCAAAGACCTTCCATTCTATTTTCCCAGCCCGTTTATCAAAGACAGAAACAAAAAGCCATGGATCCCGAAATGAGAGCTCCTTTCTCCTAGAGAAGAACCATTCTTTATTGCCGAAAAGCAAATACCAACGCTTACATACATCCCTGCACACATCATGATTTATAATGGGTACCCGGAGAAGGCAATTGAGGGCCACATCATCAGGCAGTCCGGGAATCAGAGGACCCCCCATGAGAGCCAATTCAGTGTCTGAAGAAGGATCTTGTAGGATAGAGCCCGTCGGAGCTAACCTAAACTTCGGAGACAATGTCATTTGGGAATCCCCTAATCTATGAACAGGAAATTGATGAGAGGATACACGCACCCTTTGCATAATTAGCAACCTTCACATAATAAAAATTACAATACAAGTCATTCTTTTGAACTGCAATTTCTTCCAGACTTGTCTATATTTGAAAGCACCCCAAATACTTAACTTAAAATTCAAATCCAATTCCAGAGAATTCTTAATCACTGCACAAACCCTTATTCTAAATGACAAAGAACCCCAAAGGAGAGCTTAAACAAACCTCCATCTCTTCCTAGCGGAAAAGTACATCAGACCAATCCCAGATAGCCACAGCTACCATAATACTATTTCTCACTTCAACCTAAAAAAAAGCTCTATCAAATGAAAGTTTTGAACACATCACCGCAAAATGCAAACTTTTGATCGATTAAGTACAAAAGAACCCCATCTAAATTCAAATTGTTGAACTTTTTTACCTCAACTCATATGCTTCGTACTAAACTCAGTACTTGAAAAAGATTAACACCGACATCAAAGTTTTTGGTACAGAAACAAGAGAGCAAAAGATGAATGGGCAAATCTTGTAAAAAAAATAAAGAAGCAAGGTAAAAAAAGCTTACAGATTAAATATGTTGACACTGGAAGAAGCAGAGGAGGAGGAAGACGACTGTTCTGTCTTATGTGAAGGTGAAAACTGAAAAGGGGGATCTTTTTTCCTTTCCGTTTTCTTTTACATTTCAGCTTCCACAGATTTCAGCCTCAGAACTGTATGTGCAAACATGGTTCATGTTTCAAGGAAAATAATGAAATAAGGACTGCTACTCTCACGCTCCATCTGAGAGCGTCTTATATACTCGACATTTTTTTTTCTTTTTTCTTTTTTCTTTTTTGGTACAAGAGGGCCGGGCATTATCTACGGAAATACTTATCCCTTGGCAAAAGAAAATTTATATTCCGTACAAGAGTGACAATGAAACGAGGATTTCCAGATTTGTCAACAGTCTTTTAGGTAGACATATTTTGGTATTTTTTGGATGACATTTTTAAATGTGACTCGTTGTATAAATTTATTTTGAATAAATTCAGTAATTAAATATGTGATTAAGTGACACCTAATCTAATTTATTACCCGACAAACCATATTTGGGATGAAGATATTGCACATATTTATTCTGTTTATTAGACTTATCAGTTGATTTTTTCCATCAAACATGTAACTTTTGATTACTTTTGTGACTATTGATTGAAGTTATTACAAAAGATCATTTTAACTATTTTTCATATAATTTTTACTCTATTTTACAAATAAAGTATATTTTATTTTTTTTTTTCTCTTAAATAAGCATAATCAACCAATTCAGTCACTTCTGTCAGAACTTCGTATATTTTAGCAGAATCAGCCGATTCAACCGATTTCAGTATTACTAAACGCACTCTTAGTCTTTTAGAATTGAGATGCATCAAGAGGAAAATGTACATCTAATTTTTTACACATCAAAATTTAGACGAAACCCGTTTTTTAAATATAGACAGGAGTTTCAATGAAAGTTTATGCTCATTCAATCGAGAACATAATGCTACTTTATTTACAAATTTTACTTAAAATAACAAATTTTACTTAAAATAAACGGGATAAGCTTTTTTCACGGGCTAAAATTTTAGAGGCCGTTTCGTGACCCGTTTTTAGGCTTGTCAGTCTTATCAGTCAATTTTTCACCAAACATTTATGTTTTATTTTGTGCATCAAGTTGTGTAAGAATCAAAATAAGTAAAGTTGAAATTACTTTGTCTGACTTGACTGAAGTTAATGTAAATGATAATTTAAGCTATTTTTCGTATATTTTTTAATAATAAAATATATGAAGTTTGTTAATTATGCATGTAGTTATTATTCTATCTAAATTGATTGAAGTTACTATAGAAGACAACTATTTTTCATTATTTTGATTTTACTCCCTAATTTTCGTACTCCCGATGTCCTATAATACTTGGCCAAATTTCTTTTTACACGTCCCAAAAAAACTTTGCAACTTATATTTAAATTTATGAATATTTGGTTAACACCGTTTCTTTCTCCTTTCCACAAATATCAATCACATATTTTTAAACTTTATTAATTTACGTGCAAATCAAATTAGGTCATGTTTCGTGAGATGTTGGTATTACTTATCGTTAGTAGGAGTTTTGAGGAGTTTAAAGTTGAGTACATTGAGAAAGTGAACTTTTGGGATTTCTATTGACGTTGTACACTTTTTAGATGTGTACTATAGACACTGTAATTTTTTTTTAAATAGCATCATTTCCAAAAAGGTTAGATATGTACTTGGTCCAAAAGGTGGAATCTCCCACCCCAGGAGCCCTCCATACCCCGACCCGACAGGATTTTTGGGAGGATGTTAATTACGGTGACTCAGTCGGCCCAATGATGGTATGCCTTTTTCCCGTGCGCACCAGAGGCCCAGCCTTATTTCAGGTTCTGTGATCTCCACACGGCCGCTGCGGGTTTCGAACCTTGGTCACTTGGTCCAAATTTCCCACCACTGAACCAACTGAGCTACCGGTGCGGGTAGGTTAGATATGTACTATGTATTTGGAGCAATGCTAAAAAAATGGGACTAATAATACGAAAGAGATAAAAATTACTTGTTACTTTAATTATTTGTCCATGAAACAATGGCAAATCCGAAGTATGTGGATAAAATAAATGTAATGGAAAAATGTGATTTTGTATTTCTGTTACTATCAAAGTAACTTAATTGTCGGCTATGTTTAATTTTACGCATAATAACTTTAATTACGTCTTTTATCAATAAATGTAATGTGAGTAATATTTAAGAAAAACTTCTTTCTTCATTTGAAACGTACATTTGAATAATCATTTTTAGGGAAAACAAACTCTTGAGTCATGATCATATTATTACATAGCCCATACCAAAAACGCCTTATTAATCTATTGTAGAACATATACGTAGTATATAATATCTGCAGCAGAGAGCTGAGGATAATCAATCAATTTCAACAAAAACTACTCCATCTTTTAGAAGTCTTCTCTAAAAAAACATTTTAGATGACTCTACATCATTCCACACAAGAGTTTAGAATTATGTCCAAATAATCTATATTCATCTCAAAAGAGTTTAGATTTTAATAGATAATGCCTACATGTGGTGACTTATATGCATCTAAATCTACAAATACAAATTCTATTGATCCTTCTTAGCTAAGAACATTTTCTTCATTAGTATATTAAATGACTTGTAGTCTGGTTTTTCAAAGGCGGCGTTGAAGGGTTTCTAACTCAAGCTTGTTTTCGCAGCCTTATATCTTATTGGTTTTTATAGCTAGGAGCGTGATACTACACACAATTAAGTAGTAGAATTGGCAAGTTTAATTTGTCTTAGGGCAAGGGTTTAGTCTTTATTTAACCACTTGTACGTTTTTAAGCTTTTATTAGGCTACAAACTCGTTTGTGACAACATTTCCCCCCTTTGTGTCAACAATTTCAACACTTGTACAAGTTCTTATTTACAATTTTATGAAATGCAAAAATTCAATCAATTAAAGCTAGTACATACATGTCCATCTTAAATTTAAAGATAGAAAACAAGAACAGCAGTGATAACAATATCATACAAATTCCAATAATAAATTACAAACTCAAATTCTATAGTTTAATTCCTTAAACATAAAACTCAAAAAATAACAAAAAAATCTGAGTTTTTTTCGAATTAATGTTAATTAATTAATTAATTACAAAAATAATTATGGTAAAAAAATATTTACCGATCTACTGCTGAGTTTAACCATGGTTAGGGAAAGTAGCCCAACGGTTGGGCGACTTTCTCCTTCCATATGAACGCAGACCAACAACTACTGCTAGCCACGCACGATCGTGCCTGCACGGGTAGGCACGATCGTGCCTAATTCCGAAAACAGAATTTCATCAGTTTTTTTGCCTCATTTCAATCCAGACTCATCTTTTTGCTATAAATAAAGTCTCCCTTCTCCTGTTTAAGTGTTACGAGCGAGATGCAACATATTATAAAACATACAACACACATGTTCACAAACACATACATAAACACATACAACTCACCGGTAAAACACAGTACAATCATCAAACATTCATAATAATTAATCATCTAATATTCATACTCGAACACATAAATACAACATACAAAAGAAAATACGTTAAATGTTGTAAATTGTTCCTACAACATCTAAAATGTTGTAAATTATCTAAAATGTTGTACACGAAAAATTGCAATACAAAAGACAAAGTAGAAATTGTCATGGTCATCTTGATCACTCGACCTAGGATCCGCTGTCACCTGCATGCCTACAAACAAACAAAATCGTATTAGTTAATTTTTACTATTATACCAATTCTTTTTTTTAATCATCCATTTTATTAATTAATATGTTTTCATGCAACGCTGAGATGAACTGTGAATTACTATAATTAACACCTTACCCACTGGACCCCCCATCGTGTCTTGATGATCTCTTCGCACATGTGGCCCTATTATGGCCGGTTTGGTGGCATTTTCCACATCTAACCGTTCCTCGGGGACCTTCATCCATCTCATTCTTAATACGTGTCGACTTAGGTCTTCCCTTAGCCCGAAGCATGGATGGATCGTGCACGATTTCAGGTCCATTGTAAGTAGGCCAATAATCACGATCAGGAATGGGTTTGAAGACTCTATGATATGTGGCCGCGTATTGGTCGGATGAGAAAAACTTATCCACAAATGGAGCATAAGACAAGCTACGTTGTCTGCACACGGCTAACACATGGGAGCATGGAATCTTATATATCTCCATCTTTTTACAAGTGAAAGTTTTCCGTTTCACATGGACAATTTGTTTTCTCCCACCCTTCCCCAACGTTCGGCCACCACAACCGGTTTCCACTTGAAATAACCCGCGGCCTAAATCAAATGGAGTAACTATGTGATGCTTGGCCTTCTCTCTATTCTTATCAATTAAATCTGTGATGTATGGGGAGTACTCTTGGCCTTCTGTCACTCTCATTTTACTGGTTTTACGCCTATTAACAAAATAAGCATTAACCCGGTAAAAGGAAACCTGGACCAAAGCGATGATGGGCAAATATCTAGCATTTTTCATCACGCTATTGAAAACCTCTGCCAGATTAGAAGTGATGGTACCGTATCTGTACCCGCCATTGTGGTGCAATGACCACATTTCCGGGGGAATATTCTCCATAAATTGTCGTGCCTCCAAACTCATTTCACCTATCTTCTTGAACCCACCATCAAACTTCTTTTTCTGATGTTGCCGTGCGGTCCAGACAAAAAGATTTTTTAGATGAATGTCTTTGAAATGAGTGTGCACATTCGATGCAAGATGGCGGATACATAGCCTATTATGCGCATAAGGCTCCTCCCAAGTACTGCCCACCTCATTCATTGCCCTGACAATATCTCCATGCCGATCAGAAATGACACACAACTCCCGATTAGTGAGAAACTGCCTAATACATGCCATAAACCATGGCCAACTATCCCCATTCTCAGATTCAACAACTGCAAAGGCCACTGGAAATATTTGGTTGTTCGCATCACAACCCATGGCCACGAGCAGTGTACCCTTGTACTTTCCATACAAATGTGTGCCATCAATAGTAAGTACGGGTCGACAATGCTTAAAACCATGTATTGATGGCTTGAATGCCCAAAAAACTCTTTGAAACTGCATATAACCTATGGGAGCATTAGGGGGTGGGTACCACTGCACAATAGTTCCAGGATTTGAATGTTGGAGCGCTGTCATGAAACGGGGCAATTCAGAATATGACTTCTCCCAACCGCCAAATATTTCTGCTATGGCCTTTTGCTTCCCCATCCATGTTCTCCGGTATGATACCGTATACCCATACTTTTCCTTCAGTATCTCAATGATAGTATGCACTTTAAGGGAAGGATCAGTGCGAACAATGTCAATCACATCTTTACAGATGAAATCTGAAGTCAAAGCCACATGATCGGTAGTGTCGGTGTTCCCAACACACGTAGCAGAATGAGGTCCAGGATAACGCACAATTGTGAAGGTGTCAAGGTTGCCTTTGTTCTTTGTGGCGTGTATTCTCCAGGGGCAATTACATTCTTTCTTCCTTTTGCATTGTGCCACCCATTTGTGTTTATCGGACTCTATCACCTGAAAAAATTGGTTCCGTTTGATAGAATACAAGCTCACCATATTGATGACTTGTTCTTTGTTGTCAAACTGTTGACCGACCTCAAACTCACCTTCGGGGGTAAACCTTTTCTCACCTGATCCACTCAGCCACGCATCAGTAAAACCTTCAGGGAGATCATACATTCTAGTAAAGTGGGTAGACGGGGCAGTTGCCGTGACCGTATCACCATCATCTTCATCAGATTCTGCCATATCTTCACCATTGATGTTGACGTCAACATCATCATCACTTCCCTGCCCATCCACAAATGATACACCGTTGTGCAAATACCTACCATCTTCCTGTATAACCATGTCCATTACAGGAGCATTTGAGGAGTTCCCAACATTCACACCCGCATTGACATAATGCCTAGATACAACAACATTTGATGTTGATGGAGTACGATAAGCGTCACATATGGATTCCTCAATGTATATCTCAAGCATTGACATGTCCTCGATCTGAACTATGGCCCACATATTTGTTATAGCTAGCTCATCAGTGAGGGGCATAAGCATGTACTTTCCCCCGTTCATGGGAAATTTCATTTTCAAACGCAAAGAACGGCTAGGATGAATCATTGTGGCTGTATGTATTTTTTGAAGGATCTCGAGCATGCAAGCACCACGACAAACCATGACAAATGTGGTTGTACCACCTTCATGGCATATTTGACCAGCATCCTCATAATAGTTCCCTCCCCAATGACACACGATTGGGAAGCTTGAGAAATCCATATTCTAATAACAATTCAAATATATCCAAAAGTCAAGATTCAGAAACAACTCACATTTCAATATGAAAATACCCAAATTTTGATATTTACATTCAAGTCTACATTTCAATACCCAAATTTAGCTACATTCAAATCCACCCACATGCCCAAATGTCAAAATACACTTTAAAATTTACAATCAATTTCAAATCAAATTTCAACATTTCATAATCTAAAAATTCCAAAATTTTAACATTCAAAACTCTAAGTTAAAAATGAGATGAAATGGAGTTTGATTTACCTACGAGAAAGAAGAAAGAGTGTTGAAGATGAAGATGGAGGTTTGCCGGAGTGGGGTCGCCGGATATGGAAGTTCGCCGGAGTTGGAAATAGCTCGGTCGTCCTTCGTCCTTCGTAGCTGCTGCTTGGGGGATTTGGGGATTGGGTTTCGTTCGCAGTGTTCTGTTTTGTGGCTGGTCGCTATTTTTACTTAATGGAAAGTCACCCAACGGTTGGGCGACTTATAAGTCGCCAAACGGTTGGGCAACTTATAAGTCGCCAAACAGTTTGGCGACTTATAAGTCACCCAACCGTTTGGCGACTTATAAGTCACCCAAACGGTTGGGCGACTTATAAGTCACCCAAACGGTTGGGCGACTTATAAGTCGCCAAACGGTTTGGCGACTTATAAGTCACCCAACCGTTGGGCGACTTTCCCCCGACCACATTTAATCCAGCAGTATATTGGTAAATACTTTTAACCCAACCCTATTTTCGTAATTAATTAACATTAATTCGAAAAAAACTCAAAAAATCTATGCCTAGAAGTAGAAGAATAAGTTGGTGAGTTGTATTCAAATAAAAACCTACTATGCAAAATAAATCATACATATTTCAAACACTTTTTCAATATCAATGAGCATTGAGCAAGAACCATTCCCTCACCAAACGAATGAAAAATCACTTTGGAGTTTTTTCCGTCAGAGGGCATTCAACATTTAGGAAGAAAATGCTAAAACACTACTAGTATTATATTATTTTTATATGTATAGAGAGAGATGTTTCAACCAAATATCATTCCATTCGACTTTCCGTAAGTGACATGAGTAAAGTTTGGATAGAAATTACGAACAAAAAGGAAATAAAGGGAAGCAGAAACGCATGGAACAAAAGAAAACACACGTTAGACTCAGAATTCCAAACAATTACAAAATTATGATTTGCAAGTTGTTCTTCGTTAGTTTCAAACATGGGACCGGACAAGAAACAAAACAACAATTGATTGGCCGTTTGGGTATCATAACCGTCCAGCCAGAGGCCCAGAACTACGTGTCCAGCCTAGTCATACCAGAGCACACACTAAATGTTCTAAAAAATCATGCATTGGCTTTAAGAATTCCTTGAATGCGTTCAACTTGTTGCTTATTTCAGACCTGGCTAAAAGCGTATGCACAATTACGCAATTCATCCTGGTCTAGAGGCCGCATGACATTATTTAGAGCACTGCTCATGCTGGAAGTAGAGAACCAAGGAAATAAATTACAGAGTTCAAACTGCATTAGTATTCTCAAATCTCCATCTAAATCTGTAGTGATGCAAACTCTACTTAGCAGCATACAAATTGCGCCCGCACCGGTCACATGCATTAGCAGATGCCGTGTGGGATACCGTTAAAGGCTTTTTTGTCTTCATATTTGGTAGATCAACCTCCAAAACATCATGTAATGCCTTTGAGCCTTGCTGGAGCTCGTGGGTACTGAAAATAACAAAACCGGATGAATCATCCAACACACAGTAATTTCTTGAAATGAACTCTTTAGGTGTCATTTGGTTCCGCTTTTGTTTCCTGTGGTTCACTCTTATAAAAACATAAACAAGAAACACATATGGGAACTGTGTTTTTGCTTTCAGTTTCTGAAACCTAAAATAGAATTTTGAAACTATTGGAAACAAGAATTTCTTGATTTTACTGTTTGCAGATACATGTTCCCAATTTTGACAGTGTTTTTACAACACTTAGTAACATCTTTAAAGAGTAATGTATTTTCACTATAAATAATACCTCTTTAACAAATTTAACAAACATGAAACATTTTCATTAATTTTAGAGATATAAATCAAAATATAAACAAAATTATTTTAAACCGCAATTATAAAACACAACACAGGAAACATTACTAAATAAACCTTGTGTTTTTATATATCCACATGATATTATAGGCATAATGAATGGTAGGGAAAAACTGAATGTACAGTTATTATATACCTCATACAAAGAGGAGGTGTCAGACGTATTATAGAATCATGAGTTGGTTTAGCAAGAATTCCCCTCTCCTTCAGCTTTAGGCATACATCGTAAGCAGTCAAAGGAAACAAGGCCTTCATATTCAGCTCTACTGCATTGAATAAGCCTTTCCCCCGAACTTCCTTTATTAATATAGGAAATTGCTGTTGAACCTTAACTAATTGTTGTCTCAGTTGCTCTCCCATCTGAGCAGACCTGCACCAATATGCAATGTATCATAACAGTCATACATGAAAAGAACACAGTCCTTAAATAAGGTTTTATTTGTTAAAAAGGCACACCATGCAGAACCCTGATTTAGTATAGAACTTCGCTATTATTTATTTTTATAAAAGCATTTGGTGTACCATTTTAATATTAATCCAAAACTATTCCCTCAGCTTCATACTATGCAGCTTTGTCTGTTTTTTATCCCTCAAAATTAAGTCATTTTGGAAATTTACGGTAGTATATATTCTTTATTTGAATTCTGCATTTAACCTCTATCAAATAATTAATTCTCAACCAGCTTTGGTTGATGGCTGTTGGAGTTATCAAGCACTTGTACTCCAAATATACAATATGAGCAGGTCTAAAGTGTAAATTTGCAGCTAGTATTTGAATAGTTCAACATTTCCATGGTCACTCTGAAAAGTGTGGCATATTTTAAGGAGAGTACGAGTTAGAAGCAGCACATAGCTCCATGCCAAAAGTTGCACCAACAACATAAAGTACCTAAAAACTTAGTTTGAGCATTGGATATATCCAACTTTCGTTTTGTAGCTGAGGATGCAAGTTGAAGATAAACATGAACATTGTGAAGAGTATCATACCTCTCTGCAAGACCTTCATCTCTTATTACATCTAGAGATGCAATGGCAACTGCACTGGCCAAAGGATTTCCTCCAAAAGTGCTGTTAATATCGAGAAAAAGGAAAGTGCATTATTACAACTCAAAAAGAAATTGTCTAAGATAGGAGCAATACGTCACTGATTTCCTAAAATAGGAGCTCTTCTATAGTTCTACATTATCTTAATTTGCTCAAGATCATCTGTTATCCCAAATAGCCATATAATAGTCAATCCTCTTGACTAGCTCCCTCCTTATTTGATATATTCCACATTTAGATTCCTTATATCCATCATGCTCATACACTTTCGTTCTTGTCTGAATACACACACAGCCACATTCTTGACTTAATCACATTATCAAACGACTATGGTCTATCCACTGAAAAAGAGAATACATTCGAACAGCAGGTTATGTTGTTAGAAAAGGTTAACAAAAAGTACCTTCCATGCTCTCCTGGCTGAATACAAAGCATCACATCTTTGTCTGCTAGCACTGCGCTTACAGGTAGCACTCCGCCACCCAATGCTTTTCCCAATATCTGTAGTACATGACAGAGTTGTGGAATTCAGTATACTAGAAGACTACGACGCATATGTGTGGCATGTATCTAAAAGTAATGTTTAGTTAAGCCAAGCAGGAAAGAAATAGCAGGCTTCATACAGATAATTGGCATTACGAAAATTGACAGTTATCGTGTTAACTACCGTCAATTTTCACATAGTAAGAGCGTTGGGTTTTACAACGCTAGACCTAACATACAACTTTGTAATGCCTTGTCGTATTTCAGTGGGAGTGAGCGTATATTCATGCCCCGGACCTCTATTTATGGAAAACCCTTAAATAACCAGGAACCAAACCTATCAAATGACAACACATATCTGCAATCATATTTTGATAGAAAATTTATAACACCTTTTAATGATTATTGCATATGTATCGTCACATGGTGACATGCTAGACCTAAATACTTGATCTACACATGTGGCCACCGACCAGGTACACCTAAGAGTTTTTCTTTAGGTAAATGGTAAATGTAAGAGTAAATATGAGCAATAATGGCTAGGTTAATGCCTAATGGTGTGACTGAGGTTCACATTATGGATTTATATTTTTGGGTGGGGGTGGAGGAGTGGGGATAAGGTATTTACCAAATTTGGTATGAACATGAATAGTTAATTGTGCTCTAAGCACCCATTAAGTAGTAGTCAGTACTAGTGGACGAGGTAGCATCATATCATCAGCATGCAGCTCTTTGGAAGGAGATGCTATTCAATAAAGTGGCCAGGGGTTTATAGGAACTTTGGAGTATTGTCTTTACTGCAAGCACAAATGTTTCATATAATTCCATTTACACTTACAATCCTCAAATTTGATATGTTTCAACTTCTGGCCATTGATTTTAAACTGTTCCAATTGTAATCCAAAATGTTCTCAATTCAATATAATGAAGATTTAAATGTGAATTCCCAAAATAGGAATAAAATATACTCAAAGTGCAAAAGTAGGAGTCAATGCTTAAAATTCCCTAAATAGGAGTAATAATTTGTGATTGGACAAAAACAACATTGTAGGGGTTCAAGCTTGGTCACAGGACTGCTGCCACCGCCGGTTGCCGGAATCCCGGAACCCCAGCTCCGGACTTCTGCCGGAGCGTCATTGCTGCTGAACTGGCCTGGTAATGCTCGAGAACTAGGGGGGCAATTAATTATAGGATTATTAGGCTTAATTTATCCTCAACTATCATCAAATTCACAAATATATCTCATTCTTTAACTTTTATTAAAAAGACTCAAACTTTAACTTTTCTCACAATTACACTTTCAATATTGAAGAAGAAAATCTTATTACTATTTCATTTTTTTCATTCCTTTCTAACTTTAAGTTGGAAAACTCGTATTGCTTAATCTTTTTATACAAAACCATATTTCTACTATACAATTAAAAAAATTACAAGTGGTGAATTTTATATTACTTATAATAAATCACATTATAGAGCATAACATATGAAAGATAACTAGAAAGATAAAATAGTAACATACAACCATAAAAAAATAGTTCAAAGTTTTCTTGGTAACAAATAATTTTATCAAACAATAAATATTAGTGATTAAATTACTTTAGCAACTTCTATAAGAACATAAATATATGACTTAGGTACATCAACAAATACATCAGATTCAAGTAGAGAAAGTTCTTACAACAACATCAGGACGGACCCCCTCCCAATCACATGCCAGCATTTTCCCAGATCGTGCTAACCCACTTTGTATTTCATCAGCAATCATTAGAATATTAAATTCTGAGCAAAGATCTCTAACAGTTTTGAGATAACCATGCGGGGGAATTATAACCTGGAGGGAATATCTAAAAATATGAATACGCTGTATGAAATAGAACATAATGCAAAATCAAAATGTTGCTTTCCCTGTTTCCCCAACCCATCTGGAGTTGTTCATTAGATAAAGATTTACAGCAAATGATATAAATAACCATGCTGTATAATGAAACATTTCTGTTGCAGGAGGATATGCAAGGGAAAAATTAATTGTAACAAGTGATGTAAATTACTACTCCATATCCAATTTTTAACTGTCCACTGCAGTTCAAGAAGATGCTTACCCCAGCCTCTCCTTGGATGGGTTCAAATAAAAAGCCAGCTATCCGGTCTCCCTTTTCTGGAAATTAAAAAAAAGCAATAAGTCCCCTACTTCCAATGTTTCAGCCTTTCAGGGAGCAAGTATTTCGCTTGACAGGGGTTGACAGGACAATTCTTGGAGTGTATGAGATGGCAGATGAAATTTGATTATTTAAATAATCGATTATATTTGTTATAATCAATTATATGTTTAATCGATTATTACTATAATTGATCATAATAAGAACCAGTTTTGCTCGGGTAAAGTTTTTAGAAAGTAGTCTGAAAATAATTTATTCAGTTTGGTTGCAACAGAAAATTAGCTTTTACAAGGTATAGTTTGACAACAGCTAAAAGAAAAAATAAGCTGTTAAAATAATCATAAGCTACAAATTCCCTACTCGAAAACATGTTGAAAACTACGAAAATGTTCTTCGAAAAACAAGAATGACTCTAAACGTGATTTAATTACAAAAAACTGAAATATCTACCTTTAAAAGACAAAAAACTGAAATTGTAGGTAACCAAACATGTATCTAAAGACTCATCTTCTGCATACCCTTAAATAGCTTCTGCAGTGCAGCTGCATCACCAAAATCAACTTTAAGATTGCCAGGCAACAAAGGCCAAAATCCACGAGTTGCCTCATGATCACAGCTCATGGAAATAGCAGCAAGTGTACGTCCATGAAAGCAACCACAGCATGAGACAATTATAGCCTGCACGTGCCGATGTTAAACGGAAAAACATGAGCTCTACAGGATATACGAAATATGAATTAAAAAGAACAACAAACTAAACCCTAAAATATATGAAAAGCATCTTGGTACAACTGAAAAATTGCCATCAAAAGTAGTTTCTCCATTCAAGCAAAACTGACCACTATAGAGAGAGAACTCTTGTTGCCCAATTCAAAGAATTAAAAATGATACCGATAACAAGACAAATAAAGGGTTTGAATGTGTAGAATAATAAAGAGAAATTATATTATATTCCCACATTATGACCCCATATGTGAGTCCAACTACACGATACTCTATTTTATCCTTATACTCACTTTATTCAAATAAGTAGCACACAACACCGCATAATCTATTCGTGTGGTAAGGGTCACAATTGAGGGTATGCAGAAATTTTGAATAGTAAAACAACTTTTTTTAATATAAAGCTCACAACGTACAACATCATGATCATAAAAACTATTACACTGCCTATATCAAGAACTTATATAAGCCTAAACCAAATATGATCATAAAAACTACAATTATTATATCTTTATATTTCAACGCAAAGCAGGTGGTATGTTTCTCAAATACTAGCATATGGAACTTGTATAGCGCTCACACACATTCGATTTTAAAAGCAAACAAAATAGATTTATTAACCATTAAAAGGCTCACCACATTAGGATCCAATTTGCAAAGATATGTGTGTTGCGTTAAAAACTCTTTGTGCTGGAGTATTTAAATAAATTCAGCATCCATGCCTCCTAGGTTGGATTTTGAGCTCAAATTAAAGTGGTTTTGAGAGGATTTAGAAGGTTTGGTGCAAGGAATACCATTAGGCAAAATGACCTTTATCGGATGTGACACTCACAGACATACAGGAGCCTACGAGGAAATGATGATGGATACAAAAGTGTACATTGTTCCCTGTGGGTAAAGCAGCAAGGCTATAATCAATTTCGCAATAGCAAATGACTTCGTTACTACAAACTCTCTTTAAGAAGCAAGAGCACTTAGTAACACACCCTAGAGCACAAGTAGACATCTATCTAACTTGAAATAATGATCAAATGGATTGTAATAATGTAAAAGTTATCCTGGGAGAGAGCTTAAACAAACAAAACGGATTTTTGGTTTCAGATATATGAAGTATGCATTAAGAATTGCAAAAGGAAAAAATCGGCCTATAAAGATCCTCTGACTAGATTGTGGAGCACTAAAGAAGATTAAAAAGCTATTGTTCAACACAAAATCATTATGAACATAACTCGCTTGGGAGACAATAGACGTGCAAATGATATGTGAAAATAAATGTCACAGAGTAACAGAGATGTCTCTCGGAGAAAACACATCGTGTTATTTGATCTTATATGACCCAATCTAGTGAGAAAAGGCATGGTTTGATTAAGGTGTGTTACACTAACTTTATACATATGAGAAGAAAAAATATTCATCTACAATTTCACTTCAAAGGGACAAGTCATTGTGCAGTCCAATTCACTGACAGATTCATTTTACACTTTTAAAACTTCGCTCTGATAGATGTGGGGGAATTCAAAAGCAAAATAGCACAAACCTTTCTTTAGATAAATAGCATTGTTGATGAGTCAAAGGATCAGCGCAGTTTACTATTTTGGATAGTGAAGTCAAAGGTTAACTATCCATCCATGATCCACCTTTACTTTACCAAATGTCTCGATATAAACAAAAATCTTGAAGAAGTTTCATTTCAAAAGTAATGAAAAATTAAAATGAACTAAGAAGACAAAACCATTACCTCATCTTTTGGTATTCCTTTCTTCATATAGCCCCATTTCTTTGCCAACTTCAAAGCTGTCTCTACTCCTTCTACACCAGTGTTCATTGGCAGCGCCATTTCATAACCAAACATGCTGGTAAGGCGTTCGGCAAATACAGGAAATTTGTCATTATAAAACGCTCTTGAACTAAGAGTTAAATTTTCAGCTTGTTCTGCTAACGCTTTCATGATCCTGGGATGGCAATGCCCCTGCAAGAGTAAAGTAATATAAGCAACTTAAAATTGTTTCAACTTAAGTTCTATAAACAAAGCGTACTAAAAACAACTTCCAATTCTAGTTTCACATGATACAGGCAAAATTTTAATAGGATCCATAACAACATCCTTTGAATTCCTATTACTTTTAACCTGATTGACAGCAGAATATGCTGAGAGGAAGTCAAGATACATGTTCCCTTCTGGATCCCAGACAGATGATCCCTTTGCACGAGAGAAAACAATGGGAATCGGGTGGTAACTGCAATAAAATCACAAAAGCTATATTATTTGTTATGAGTGTGGTAGGGACCTCGTCCAAGATGTAGCACAAAGGAAAGGAATGGAGGTAGGGCCGAGAAAGAGAGAATATGTTGCATCTATATTTAAGAGAATGAGAGTTTAGAAATAAGCCTATGGTACGTAGAATGGTGTCTGACCTAGTCAAGAAACAAACTAATCCTTCAAAGGTAGTTTTTATTATTAATATTGAGGACCCTTCTACAGTTATTACAAGAAATGACATCCATGCTAGCGCTCAATGGACCTTTTTACATAAATTGGCTTTTAGTGCACCTTAGTCAATGCTTATTCATATTTAAATTACAAATTCTTGGATGGAGCTTTTACATAGAAGACGTGAACTCCCCTACTCCCCCTATAAGAACTGTTGCGAGTAACCAGTTTACAAACATAATAAAGTGAAATGTTAGTAAGAGTATGACTAAATATGAATAGTGAAATAACACTAACAAGACTAATAATAGCTGCTACTACAGTATTATTAATATTAAAATCATCACCAACATCAAATTAATAATTATATTAGTTAGACAGCTAATCATAATAAGATGTCTTTGGTCCTTTAGCATGGTTGTAACAAGAGACACACCCACACCATAATCTTCCTCATAAGTGGACATTGTGCACTGCTGCAAAAAGAATTTGTTATCATTTTTTACTTTGAATCATACTAGCTCCTGATTAAAACAATATGTAAAACTTATCACTTTCTCCAATTATCTTCAACTCCGCAGTTGAAAATAGCAATAGAGTCAACCCAAGGGCAATGCAAAAAAAAAAAAAACTCGACGACAACTCGAAAAGAAACACCCAAATTACATAAATCTAACTATGACAAGCAGCCCGCAAATATCTCGGCGGCGGCACCTCCTTAATTCCAAGCATGTCGATTCCGGTGGCATAAAATTATTAGTTTCAATCAATTGTCTAAATTATTTAACATTGAATAAACTCATGCAAAGAAAAGCTTAATGGCAATGTTTTATACCGGATGCGCTTCTTGTCCAATGATATTTCCCATTCAAGTACATGGTACCCGAGGATTTTTCAATATCCGTACAAGTATCCATATATTGAGTTTGTGGAAATATCAGTGAACTATCGATATCTGATCACATCACATTAAAATAAATGACAAAATTATATTTTTTAAATCAAAATTTTGATAAGAAATTCTGGGGATGTAATAACAAACTTCCGTACATAAAATTAACTTCAAATAACAGTAAATTGATAAGTTTATGGAAATATATAGATAATAAACCCAATAAAAAAACCTTTGTTGCTATAATAACGTGTTTGAATTGTTTGGTAGTCTGCGAGTGCCAGAATGAATGGGGTTCATGGTTATGGAATGTCATCTTTGTCTAAACAAAATTTGCACCATGACTGTGAACTCATTGCATTAGAGTCATTCTGAAAGTAGTAATGCACATCCCAATAGTATGCTTCTGTATGTCTTTCAACCTTCTCAGCACGAATACATTATTGGCATGAGGTTTATCCTCTATACGACATATGAGGGAGAGAATAATCAAATATAATTTTAGTTAAACTAAAGTGTTTGGTATTATTTATGTACACTGATGTATTTTAGGGGGATATTGTAATCCCCATCAAACATATGAGGGTATCAGATATTCATCTCCTGATTCTATCATTAGAAGGGTTCCTGGTAGTCTACAGTAAGTGATTGTTTGATAACTACAACTTTTGGCTTACAAGCCCAAAAAGACAAAAAAAAAATCAAAAAAGTAATTTCTTTGATCAGTAAGAGCTGGAACCACTAAATTTTAATAATAAAATAAGGTTGGAGGTATTTTTTTGTTGAAGTTGCGAAAGATGACTATTATAACTTCGTTTACATGTTTGTTTCTAAGGATGACTATTACGTTTGTTTGTGTGAATAATGACTGGAACTTTAAACATTAGAATCTCATTAACTTCTCCAAGCTATGCACATTCAACCATATTTTAAGCTTTACCATGCACATGGGCTCCAAACAAAACCCAGAAACAGAAGCATGTGACGCAACAATGAGATAAACGATGAAGATTGAAATTTCCATATTGCAAATCAGCAGAAAAAATCGCCACATTTGGGAAATGAAAATGGAGCAGAGACCCATAACCTGCAAAAGTTAATTGCAACCCATACCCATACATGTATTTCAAGATAAAAAGAAAGATTACTTGTGAGCGCTACACTCGGTTTCCATGTTGATGAGGTGCTGAGAAGATGAGGCCGCCTCATTTGCTTCGTGTTGGGCGTTAGAGAAATTTCGGGTGCTCCTTCTTCCACTGTAAATCCTGCTCAAGGCAAGCTGCAAAGGCCTCCTTGTCGCCATTGTTATCAAGAAATTAAAAATCTTTCAATCGCAAAAGAATCTTAGCTGATAGGTTTCTTCGTTTTACATAAATTTACGATTGTACGAACACACAGGAGCATACAGTGGCGAACGACACAATCCTGTGGTGTCAAATTAACTCCAGTCACTCTCGTTCATATTATCCCATGGGAAAATTACTTGTGTACCTTTTACGTAAACGGTCAATTCATCTAAAAATGTAGTACAAAATTATGTGGAGAGCTCACACCCAAAACTGTCACCAAGAACGGTTCTTTCCACTTTCCCTCAATTTCTTTTTTGCTAACCCATGATTCACACTTCTTTGAATTCATTCTGCTCTCAATTTCTAGATTCCTACATCCCATCTACAAGCCACCGCGGGCACGAAAAACAGCCAATTCAAGCACCAAGCAGTCTCATCAATTGCATGTCATGTGGCATGGCAAGTCATTTTGTTGCAATTCTTATAACATTTACATTTATAGTTCAATTTTCAAGAGAATGCATCAAATTTTATAAATTCAAGATTTTCAATGTTTTTTGAACTTTATATACTCCCTCCGTCCGCAAATTATACCATGAATTTGCCATTGTAAAGTGTCTTCCCTTTTCTTTCTCCCTTGAGCAATGTTCTTCCTTTTTTTGCTTTTCTTTCTTTATTTTTCTTTTGTTCAACTCATTCTTTTTTCATCAAATTAAAATATTAAATATTTAATGACAAACCTACTTTTCTTTATCTTCATCCTAAATTATAATTGAATCTTTTTTTATTCTTTATCAATACACAACAAAAGTTTATTAATCTAAATAAAATAAGTAAATTGCATTTCATATTCATACACCATTTTTGTTTCTGTAATATTTTTTATATTCATATACTTTTTTGTAATATACTTTTTATCTTCACACTTTTTTGTAATATTTTTTATATGGACACATTTTTTCTATAATATAATTTTTTTTATCACTTTTATATGTTTTTAGAGGTTTTAAGACATTGAGTTTGTTTATTTTGATTCTTGAAGTTACATTTGGTAATATATCATGAAGTTACCTCTTTTTATGCACGAGTTACATCTTAACGTACATGAGTTACATCTTTTTCTGCGCGAGTTACATCTTAATGTACGCGAGTTACATCTTAATATACGCGAGTTACATCTTAATGTATGCGAGTTACACCACGGAATAAACCTCTGATATATCATATTTATAGCCCTAATATTAAAAATAAAACATATTCACTATTTAAAAAAGTAATTAAGCTATTAGGATAATTTTTTTATTATTTACATTGAAATCAATGTTTATGATATATATATTATTCTCAAACACACTAAAACAAAATTGTTGAATTTCCTAACAAGTTACATTCTGTATACACCTAAGTTATACATGAATTACATTAAAAATCAACCTCTGCTATTGAAACAAAAAAATTGATTTTTTTAAAAAAATATTTTTTATGGTTAGGATATAAAAAACAAAGCATATTCACGGAGTATATATTATTGAAATGTTGGTTATTATAAGTTTTATACGTGTATATTTTTACATATCAATGCTCAAAAATCAATGTTGGAGAGTGGAGACCGTGAAATGTTGAATATAAAGTTAATTAAGAGATGGAGGGAATATGTAATATTCATACAATTTTTGTTATCATAAAAGAGCGGCCGTTATATTAAAATTGAGAACATATACAAGACAATCTTCAGATAGAATTTATAGATTCAATCGTGAACCCTAGGAGTAGACTTAGAGTCAACCACCTCATACAAAGCAACATGACTCGTTACACCTAAAACGAGCAAATTTAGGTGTAAAACGACCGAAACCGAAACCCTATCTATCAAAAGGACTCCAATAATCCAAACATTCAAACCAGATCTTCTCGGACTAAAATAGAAACAAGTGCTACTAAAGAGAAAATAATACTGAAATGAAATCTTTCCACAAAACTCTTTTTGGTATGGAGGTGGTTCCGGGGGAAGACGAGCTCTTACAATATGGGTGAATACCAACTCCACCACCACCGGAATGGCAGACCAAGGTTTCACGATCCCGCCTCGATACAACCTCCCGATCGCACCTTGTTTATCCGCTAACGTTGTCTCCTCCGACGTAGTTGCAATCTCAAGCGTTTGAACACTTGAAATCAGTATAATCTCCCGCTCCAACCTCATATTGATAGGGCGGCAGAAATCTCAACCCCTACAAAGAGGGGAGAGGGCCGTTAGGATTCCTCTCTCTAGCATTAAAAGTTATTTGAACATTGTAATATTTATACAGTTGAAAAGATCATAAAAATATAAATTTGTTTTTTTAAAAGATTGTACCATAAATGAAAAGGTTACAACAATGGTAAAAAATTAATTACATAACAGATAACCATGGAGGCGTGAACATCACCCTCGAGTAAGGGCGAACAAAATCACTCATTTTAGATATAGACATCTATGTCCTTTTATCCACAGTTATTCATTACTCGCTCCGTTCCACTATGATAGTCCCATTGCGGTTTACGATGTTTGACCAATGATAAAGCAAATAGATTTCTGTCCGCATTCAAATTATTTTTAGGAAAAACAAGTTCATATTCACAAACTACATTAATAGTCTTACAAAGTCGCATAACCCAGAATCAAATTTGATAAAAAATTGATACTCCCTTCGTCCCGGTAGTCTTTGTCAACTTTCCCTTTTTGGTTGTCCCAAAAAACTTTGCCACTTTTCTATTAAAGCAACTAATTTGTGGTTATGCACATTTCTCTCTCCTCAGCACAAATTTCAACTACACAGTTTTTACTTTTCTTATTTCTCACCTACTTTGCACTTGTCAAAGTACACCGGAACAGATATAGTATATAAAGTAAGAGATTAAGAGTGATTTGTATTGGCTAAGTGAATAGGAACTGAGACATGGTTCGTGGGACGGAGGGAGTACTACGTGCCATATAGAGACTCGTTTTTATAACTTCATTCATATACTTCGTACTAAATTGTTGTTCTGCATTGGAGCGCCCAATTTAATAGACTCCTCTTTTATACACCCTTCGTCTGAAATTGATTTGCAAAGTCAATTTTTTTGTCAATCAATGTTGAAATTAAATTTTCCGCGTTGAATATGAATTCAGTTTTAAGAATTAAATTTTATGGAGTACATATTTAGAAAAATACATAAAAATCTCTATAAACTTGCAAAGTCTAAATTAGAATATATTTTTTTTGGAAGAATTAGGCTTATATTGATATCAAAACATTTAGATAGTGGGTAATCCGAAAAACAGAATCCTGGCAACTGCCATCCCACGAACCAGACTTAGAGTTAATCACCACAAACGGTTACCCCAATTCGCTTATCACCCATATCCAGATCAATCGTCTTTCAGAACGGAATCACAAAAACAAGACAAAAATCGAAACAAACAGAATAGTCTTGAAATAAAAGAATAAAACTGAAAATCTTGAGTTGTTTCCCGAAGTTGTTAATATGCACCCTTACCCAAAGCTTCTGTCTTTGAGTCAGAATCCACTTAGGCGGACTTACTGGACGAAGTCCGCCTCCTCCCCCGTTTTTTGTCTCATCCATAGCCATGCTATCCTTTCCATTCTGTTCTGCTCCATGTGTCTCCCAAAGTTTCCTTCGCTTATGTTCCCCCGCTGGTTCTTCCTTGGCCTCACCTCCTATTCCTTTCGTTATACTCTGCTCTGAATCTGCACCAAACTCTTTTCTTCCACCCCCTAACTTGTCCTCAAACCTGGTATCCTCTCCATTCCTATGGTCTCTGCCAGAGCTCGATGAACCCTCCAATAGCCATGGATTTCCTCTTGTGGGACTCGTCTTCCCCCCACTACATGCTCTAAGGTGGACCCCAAACTTTTTTTCCAGTACTAGATCTTCCTCATAATTTAAAATTTAAATGGCAGAATTTATCTAAATGTCCAATTAAACCACAGATAAAACAGAAATTGGACAACCTCATATCTGAAATCTACCCAATAGCTCTTGCCATCTTTCTTCAGATTAGTACCTCTTTTCAGAGATTTCTCAACATTCATACACACTCTTATTCTCATATACGCCTCCCACTTATCACTATTCTGATTATCATCATATTTTATAAATTTTCCTATGAAATTACCCACCCGGCCGTCTGGCAGTACCTAGATTAACTAGGCTATAAGGAACATTATGGATATGAACCCAGAATTCTACCTAATTCAAAACAATTTTGTGAGGAATACCATCAATTTTAACTTTTTTTAACAAGAACAAATTACGTTCAAATTGTCATAGTCCTTGATGTGAGTTTTCTCGCACTTAAAAAGATTGTAATATAGCAGTGAAAGTACGAGTATCGTCTCCACAGGGACGGTAAAAGGGAATTAAGGATTAACTAAAAATCAGCGATAAAGAATAAATAAAATAAATGCGGTCGTGCGAGATTTGGTTGCTTGAGAAAACTAAAATTGCAAATAAACGATTAAAAGTAAATGATTAGGTTCTTCTTAATTAACAACGAAGGGAACAGGGATTGATTCCGGGGTAATCAGATTTCTGGCAGATCAGGCTTAATTACATGAATTTAATTTAATTGAGCCTAGCTAATCAATACTAAGTTCTTACCGCTCTCGCGGCGTAGAGTACAATAATTTAGGGGACCAGGCTGATCTCTCATGCGACATGATCCTAAATTATTGCCAAGATGAACGAGCTTACGGCCCCTTAATCGCTACTAATCTCTTAGCGAACGATTAAGTGTGTGTGAATGTGTCCTAGAACAAATTAGATCTCTCTTAATTTATTCTATAAGCAATTGTAATTCTAGTGGTCATTCTAGGTTACAAAAGATATCAATTAAATTATTCAAACACAAATTAAATGGCATTCATGCAATTTACACCATCAAGAACCTAACCATACATCATGATTAACCCCTTCATCAACCCCAAATCCCTAATTAAAACTACTCACAACTCATAATTGAAGAATCAATAGAATTGCGAAGAATAGAATTAATTGTCATTAATTAAAACGATGGAACTTACAAATAATCCAAGGGAATTGAAGAACAAGATGGAAAAGTAGAAGAAATTTCGTTCCTAGGTCTCTCTCTAAGCTCCCCCTTTAATTAGGGTTAGAGAGGTGTTATTTATAGGAAACAAAGCAATTCGGGTTGAATTAGGAAACAAGGAAATTCGCACTTAAATTAAGAAACAAAAACGGGGCACGCACGGCTTGGGTAAAACGTCCGAATTTGACTTTACTTCCTTCACGAAAGTTGTAGATAATGAAGTCCTCTATCCACCCCAATTTTCCGAATTGGATTTGAATCATCCAAGCAAGAGATATGAATAAAATGGTGGAATGTCTCATTCTGAAATCGCAACAGGGATCATCTGACTTCGTCGTCTGTTTTCACATTCTTCCTATCAGATTCTCGGAAAGGTGTCTTCG